TATAGTAATTCTTATTAAAAATTAAATTAAACAAAATTAATATTTTTTAATAAAATTTTGATGAGTTTAACAAAATAATTAACAATCAAAACCACAGAGCATGGTTGGTGGCATCCACACTACTATTCTCCAATCTGCACACCATTATCATATTTGACAATTAAGGCACATGATAAAAGCCAAGACATGAGTACAGTCTTCCAGTTGTCGTGTCCCTCCTGATGGCGATTTGGCCACCACATAAGTTCCCATCAGATAACAAAAAAAATCATTTGACAAAACTTTATATATTTTAGAATCTTGGGAACCATCTTAGATTTTCAGCAAAGTTTGATTCTTTTGTTTTGTTCCTGTTTAAAAGTTGTGGGGAGTTTTCCCTTGATTGGGAGCCTCAAAGGCAGAAGAGGATGGTTAAGATATTTGGGGACTCCAAGTTTGTGCTGTGCCTAGTGTTTTCCAGCGTCCTCAATCTTCTGTTCATTATCAATCTTTCTGTGGGTGGTCGGTGGAATCTAAGTTGGAGCTCAGAAGGTGCAGCAGAAGCTGAGGCTGTGGCAGCTATTTCATGCTCAGGCCATGGAAGAGCTTACTTGGATGGATTGGTTCTCGATGATGAAAGACAACCACTTTGTGAGTGTCATACTTGCTATTCAGGCCCTGACTGTTCGCAACTTCTACCCAATTGTGCTGCAAACGTTGATGGGTACATATATATCTCTGCTCTCTTTCTCTCTGCCTCTCTGTCTTGTAGCATTTTAAAATTGTTGTTTTTTTTTTTTTCTCACAAAGAAATGGAGAGAAAATCAGGAGGAAGATGAAGAGCAGAACATAAACAAAAATGGAGAGGAGTACAACACTCCAACTCAGATTTCTCATTAACAAACTCTGTTTTATATAATAGAAAACAATCTAAAAACAACTCAAAAAGTTTCTTATTGTCCAGGCAAATTTCTACACTAAAAAATAACAATAAAAATATGCCTAAAACAAGTAGAAGACGAGCACTTTTGCTCCATGCTTGTTATGATTTTGCAGCCACTTTGCACCCTTACATTTCATATTCGTTTTATTTCTTTTGCTGTTCATTACAGCTTCATTTCATCAACATTTGTAGCTTACCTTGCTGCACATTTTTACTATCATTTGACAGCTTCATTTCAATCATATTTGCGGCTAAATTGCTACCATATTTGCTGTCAAATTGTAGCTTCATTTGCTGTCAATTTTCAGCCTCATTACTGCCATTTCATGGCAGTTTCATTTCATCATTTTGCAGGTTTGAATGCCACATTTCTAATCATATTTCCAACACTCCTCCTTGGCATCAAAGCTGCAAAATCAAAACAAAAATAAATTTATGCCTACGCACCTCGGATCAGCCCTTTGCTGTCTATCTTGTACTGGGTTTTCATATTTTCTTCACAGCCATGTACCACCCTTCTCAAACAGCCTCAGCTCCTCCTTCATTGCAGCTTTCCTTCCTTGGGAATTTGCTGCCCCAAACAAATTTTGAAGGTTTTGCAACTAAGTCGCATTTTCTGAGTAAATAAAACAAGGATTTTGGTACCTGAAAGTGTTGCTTCATCATCTTTGTCATCTTCTACAGCTTCCTTGGGCAAAAGGTTTGGCTACTTGGTCATGAAAATGACTTGATGCAATGTTGAGTGCTCTCTTGGTCCCAAACTGCACCTTCGCAAGCCATCCTTGCCTTTTTGGACTAATGCTGTAGCATAAAACACCACCCATACCAGCAACATAAAACACCATCAAACCAGCGTCTTTCACTCATGCTTCTTGCAAATCTTTTGCCTCAATAAAATTGAAAGGCGTCAACTTAACCTTCAACTTCACAGCTTCAGATACTCTCTTCTACCTTAACAAATTGGTTGCATCTTTTTGTCAACCACTTTCAAAGATTGAAGGACCTAAAGTTAACCTTCATTACTACAACATATTTGCTGCATTTTTTGTTAGAGGAGTTGTGTTTGGCCAAAAAAAAAAGGATGTTATAAAAGAAAAAAACCTGCTGGCAGCCATTTGGGTTTGGCCAGAGTTTGTGGTGGTAGATTTCCCTCAAATCTCTCTCACACAAGCCTTCAAAGATCATGAAAGGCTCTGATACCATGTTGATTTTTTTTTTCTCACAAAGAAATGGAGAGAAAATCAAGAGGAAGATGAAGAGCAAAACATAAACGAAAATGGAGAGGAGTATAACATTCAACTCAGATTTCTTATTAACAAACTCTATTTTATATAGCATAAAACAATCTAAAAACAATTCAAAAAATTTTCCTATTTTTTATAAGCAACTTTTCTACACTAAAAAGCAAAGATTAAAGGACATCTAAACCATGAAAAAGACAGCCACTTTTGCTCCACGCTTGCTATGATTTTGCAGCCACTTTGCACTTTTTCATTTCATATGCATTTGTATTTCATTTGCTATTCATTGCAGCTTCGTTTCATCAACATTTGCAGCTTACCTTGCTGCACATTTTTGCTGTCATTTGATAGCTTCATTTCCATCATATTTACAGCTAAATTGCTGCCATATTTGCTGTCAAATTGCAGCTTCATTTGCTGTCAATTTTCAGCCTCATTGCTGCCATTTCATGGCAGTTTCATTTCATCATTTTGCATGTTTAAATGCCACATTTCTAATAATATTTCCAACGAAAACAAATTATTTATTCTAGAAACCATTTGTCTGATATATTAGACCTTTGTCTTCAGAGGGGATCCATTGTTCTTGGAGCCCTTTTGGATGAAGCATGCAGCTAGCAGTGCACTTGTCGTATCAGGATGGCACAGGATGAGCTACAGCTATGATGATGACACTTCCTCTTCCAAAGTGCTTGAGAAGCATATTCGAAAACTACACTCACTCGTAGGAAATGCAGATACAGATAACAGGTTCATCATCTTTGGTGCTGGCTCAACCCAAGTCATTAGCGCTGCAATCTATGCACTGTCTCCTGATAACGCCTCCTCCCCTGCAAGAGTCGTAGCTTCAATCCCTTATTACAGGGTATGGTCTACTATTTGTAGTTCAGTTTTAATAAGTTCCCTTACCGTGCACATGTTAATTGTTGATATATTTGGTTAAAATTCAAATGTTTTACAGCTCTATAAAGCACAAACTGAGCATTTTAAATCAGTGGACTTCAAGTTTGAAGGAGACACAACCGCCTGGAGGAACACTTCAACTTCTAACACCACCAAATTGATTGAGTTTGTGACCTCGCCAAATAATCCTGATGGACAGATGAACAGGGCAGTTCTTCATGGACCATATGTGAAAGCAATTCATGATCGTGCCTATTACTGGCCACATTTTACGCCAATTCCAGCTCCTGCAGATGAAGATCTAATGATATTTACACTTTCTAAGCTCACTGGTCACGCTGGTACTCGATTTGGGTAAAAACTTGATATAATTCTTCATGCCATTCCTTTTTTTTTTTTTGGCACTTTGAAACTCCAACTTGAAGTCTCAAGTTCTCTTACCTGTTAAGACACTCCTTGAGGGCTTTCTCATGACATTCTAATACTTCACCAACACTGATCATATTTTAAGCATTATGCAGGTGGGCAGTGATAAAGGATAAGAATGTATATGAGAGAATGACAAATCATATGAGTTTAAACAGCATGGGGGTTTCTAAAGATAGTCAATTAAGAGCTTTGAAGCTTCTCAAAGTAATCCTAGAACGGAAAGGAAGGGAAATATTTGAATTTGGATACGAGACAATGAAGGCCAGGTGGGAAATATTGAACAAGACATTGTCATTGTCGAACCGCTTCTCTCTCCAGAAAATTCCTCCTCAATACTGCAACTTCTTCCAGGAGGTCAAAGAGCCTTCTCCAGGTAATATTTCCTCACCATTTTGAATGTTCTTGTGTATGTAAGAGAGAAAACGAGTTGAATGCTCTAGTTTTGATTTGATAACTGCAGCTTATGCATGGTTGAAGTGTGAGAGAGAAGAAGATAAAGATTGTCATGCAGTGTTGAAGGCTGCAAATATCATGGGGCGTGAGGGCAGTAGGTTCAGTGCTGAAGATCGCTATGTTCGGCTTAGCATGATAAGAAGAAGAGATGATTTTGATATATTTATAGAGCGTTTAAAAGAACTAGTCTCGAAGGAAGAAGGCATTAACGCCATGTGAAGGATGCAATAAACCACTCGAAACCCTAACACTGATCAACATCTGTTGATCAAAAGCTCCCAAGAAAGTAAATCAAGAACAGCTGTAAAAAGCTGGTAGTGTATGTTTGGCAAAGAGGTGATGTCTATTGACCTGCCTTCTATCCTTTAAAGGGGTTATATCCATTAACCTCTTTACTTGCAGAATGCATTATAATTCAATAAGTGGTCATGTCTATTGACCCACTTGTAGAGGCAAATTAGTTTATTGTTCTTACCTCTCAATGTGCTTATGAAATAATTATGATTCCTTTCATTTCCTCGAATAGTCTCCTTCAATGTAGAAGCTATAGTAAAAGGTCATGCTAAAACTGACCTTTTAGGTGATTGTTGATGTCTTAGGAGATTTTGTTTCATTCCCAATCTTAACCGTTTCAAGAAGCATAAATGTACTGGTAAAGGACCCTTCTCTTGCTCCTACAATTGCAATCATGGACACTGCAAAGTAAGTTTGATCCATAAGTGACTTCTGGATCAAGAATAAAGACCAATGTTGTGGCTTCTCCCAACCAGATGCTTGTGGTCTTCAATTTGTTTCCGGGCACAGTGACCTTAACCTCAAGCATAAGCGTGTCAATAAATATTATATCAATCAAGTCCTAATTCATAAACTGCTTGACATAGAAGAAAATATCTGAACTAGTTCAGCACAGAGCCAATTCCCAAATCCCAACATTTTTAAGGTGTTCACCTTAGTTAAAACACTTCTACCCTGCAGATTTTTAATCTTACCACAGAGCCACAGACAGGCTATCATCATATATCAACTTTGTTATATTTAAGGCTATCTTTGCAATCCAATCATTCTTATATTATCATAATAGTTTTCATGTATTTCTTGAATTAAAAAAATTCCCTAAAAGGACTTGCTAAAAAACACTTTTTGATACGTTCATATCTCTCTCCTAGGGCAAGCAGACGATAGTAATCAATGATCTGCTAGCTTTTACCTATCAACCATATCTAAAATGGGATCCCCGAAGAACATGGGGGAGCCCATAAATCAGAGATGTGCAAATCAACTTCACCTACACTGTTATCTTCAATTTTAAATTGAAAATGACCAAAATATTTTTTTGATAATCCGGAATGTATTATTAATGAAAGGTTTTTCTAACCTATGCCAAGTAAATTACGAAGAGTCTCTCTTTGTGTTAATTAAGCTACATTATATTATAAAATAGAGACGATTAAATAAAAAAAACTTTAAAATTTTAAAAAACTCGACTTTCATTTAACAATAAATGTTGTGTAGATGGATTGTTATGTCAAACCACATAACACTTTTTTAAATCAAGAATATCAATGTATCTTGATTTTCATTTTCTATTTTTTAAACTAATTCAGTTGAAAATTTGCTCTACCCAGAAATCAAATAAAGCACACGCATTTGCTAACGGCTGAAATTGGGACTGCCTTTTTAAGATCAACTTCGAGACCTTTACAGCCTAAAAAACGCATGCCAAGTCCAATCCAAGCCCAAACTAAATTTACCCATTGTTCCGCTGGTTAAGTAATGGTAAACTCCTCCAACTCCAAGCCTAGTTCATTGCACCTTGGCCCTTGTAGTAGCTATCACCATTTACCAGACGTCCAATTCTTTATCATATCGGTAACACCCACACCCGCACACCATCATGGTCCATGCACCCCACCTTAATTATGTGGATCCCACCAAAAAACTCCTCAAACATGTACACCATGCACATTGGTCTTTTCTACTGTTAGTCCATGAATTTTTCATACGAGGATGATGTTGGGACGCGCTAAGGATAATCAGTTCCATCTAATGATAATCAGTTCCATCATTAACAGTTAAGGTATTTACCAATCACAAAATTAATTGCATTATCTAGAATGAAAAAAATGCTTAAATATTTACTTTATTTTTATTTATGTAGCAAAATTTTATATTTTTAATAGTACAATTTTTTATTTTAAGTAATATTCTTTCTTTCATATTTTTGTATTAATTTTTAATATTTAAAAATTATATTAAATCTTAATTAATTTAGAATTGACTTACTTCAAATCCCACAAGGAAAAAACTCTTTAGTAATTATTTTTTTATTTACAAGACTTAAACTTAAAATCTTAGTTTAGTTTGATAACACCATCAAGTGTTGTTCTATAGTTATAATTATTAGAAGTGATGTGCTATATTATCACTAAAAGCATTTTTTGTGTTTGATAATTATATTTTAAAAAAATTACTTATTATAAAATTACTTAATTAAACATATTATTATTTAAAATTAAATTAATTAATAATTTAATATAGAAGTGATGTGCTATATTATCACTAAAAGCATTTT